GTAGTACTGCCCATTGTAGAAGACCCTGCTCACCGCCCACCGGGAGACGTCCAGGCTGCTGTGATCCACCAGCACCTCCAGCCCCACTGGGTGCAAGAAGAATCCACTCACATTCTGAAACAGGATGAACCAGGACTTACGGTCTCCAGACTGGAACCCGTGAGGGGCTGTGGTCTGAAATGCCACACTGGTGCCATCATACTCCAAGACTTCTTGCAGGAAGCTCGGTGCTGCAGCAAATGCCGCTGTCTCCAAGAATGCTGCCACCTGCTTGTACTCACTGCCCAGCATTGGTCTGCGGTGGTATGGCACCTTCCCCCCGTACTTCTGCACCGTCACGTCCCGGTGGTACACCGGCGTTGGCAGAGGACCCACCACGTACTCGGTGACATTGGGCTCTGGCTGGTTCCCAAAGTACAGCACAGCCAGTGCCTCTCGGGCGGGACGAGCCCCCCCGCCGTCCAGGAACCGCAGCACCTCTGCCTTGGCAGGGACCTGCAGATCCACGGAGGCGATGCAGTTGTCCGAGGGTTTGGCACGCGAGGCATCAACCAGCTGCACCCCGAGGTTTCCCTGCAGGTACCGCACCACTTGCGCCATCTCCTCGGGTGTCAGGTCAGCAAACACCAGGCTCTGGCTCACGGATCCTGTCTTCTCCACAGTGCTGGGCTGGGATTCACAGCTAGGCGGTCGCCTGCCCCTGCTCAGCAGCATGCAGGAGAGAATGAAGATTATCACTGCAGCCCCAGCTAGGAGAACATAGGGAAGTTTGGGGTTCATCGCTCCGAGTGTGGCAGCAGGGCACACGGTTTGGCTGAAGCATCCAGAGTATGTTCCTCACCTACAGACCAGGCTCTTTAATCATTTGTGACTGTGGGCGTAACGGCGACGCTTGTGAGATGGGGAGGGAGCCTGGAGCTCACATGGGGCTCTGGGATCACAGGTCCCAGCCAGTTTGGCTTGTTTTCTCCCCACCCCAGACACACCAAAGGACCCAGCCAGAGAGCCGGTGACTGACTCACTCATCAAGCTATTGCTGGGTTTCTCCCGCTGCGGGGTGACACCACAAAGAGCCCCAGTCTCGTCTGCCCTAAGGCCCTTTGCTTCTTCCAGCGTCTCCCAGGATGCTCCCTCCCTATCTCCTGTGGGAATGTGTCTGTGCTGGTGGGGCTGGCTCAGCTGGCCTGGTCCTTTTGTGCCCAAGTGCTCCTGGACCAGTCCCACTCCCCTGTAGGGTCAGTCTACACTGGCACAGCCCAAGACCCGCTGGCTCCCCAGCACCTCCACATGCTAGTTATTCCTGTCGCCATTCTCTGTTGTCTCTGAGTCCATCCCAGTCCTGAGGGAAGAGACCTGGCAGCTCCAGCCTGGCTCTGGCTGCAGGAAGACCAGAGGCAGCTCCCTGGTGAGAACAGGCGGCATTGCTGAACTCCTGGTAGCAAGGGACAGGCAGCACCTGGAGTGGCTGTCATCAGCCATTCCAGCCCCACAAGACAGCACAAGGGCTGTCTTGGACAGAAACGGTGTGAGGCAGCTGCTCCTGCGTGGCCATCAGCTCCTGCAAGGCTCCCCCAGCACCCAGCCCCACGCAAGGCAGCAGTGACATGACCAACAGCAAGGATGACTTTACAGAGATCAGGGTCCACATCCACCAAACACCCTCTTGGTGGGGACACCCTGAGACACAGGTAGGAGGGGCTGGAGCAATTTACCCCATTTGCAGCCGTGTTAATTTAGGAATTATGTGTTCATTCTCACTTCCCACTAGGGATTAATTGCCCTTTTTCCCTGCGAGTCCCACACAAGCCTCAGATCAGGATCCAAGAACCTGTGTGAGGGATGGCCCACTTTAGCTGTGACACAGCTATGCCTTCCCTGTGCTGGAAGGTGGGGATCCTGCAGGCACCTCTCATGCTCCCTGCATGGCCCTGAGCCCTCTTGCATGGAACACAGCTCCCCTCTTGCTATGGGGAACAACTCTGGGATATTACACAACTCTTCTTAAAAGAGTTTTGCAGCAGTCAGGGCTCAGGGTCTTTAAACAGTGCGAGGCATGGATGGGCACTACAGTCACAGAAAAGGACCTTGTCACCATGCAGGAACTGTATTTTAGCACGTTGTTGAGCCTTGCTTACAGGAAGGGACCAGTATCAGCCCTGACTTTGACCATAACAAAAGCAGCAGCACCTTTCAAGGCCACACAAATCCCTGCATCACAGGTAGGTACACAGGAGAACACATGCTGGGACCGAATGCTTGCTTTGGAGTCAGCTGCAGTTTGACTGACGTAGCTCTGAGATTACTTCCCACAACCCAGAGGCAGCTTGGATCCCTGGGGCTGTGTTTCTCCTCAGGCTGGTTCAGATGCAGCTACTGCCTCACAGCGAGCTCTTTAGTCCTGGGCAGATGTAAAACATTTTCCCCCCACCTTTTACAGGAGAAGTTTTCAATAATAGACACTGAGTGTCCACCTGTGCTTCCACTGCCCCCAGACTGCAGCTACTGGAACAGCCTTTCGGAAGCAAAGCTGCCCCTGAGGCTGAACACCCCTGCACTCCCAGGGTGGCTGCCAGCACTTGGCTGTGAGCAAGGGACTGCTCCTGGACTCAAACAACCCTGTTCAGGGATCTGCTGCCAGACCATGACCGCACAGGGAAGCAGGGGAACTTGCTGGGTCGCTGTAGCGGCTTTGCACTCCCAGGCTTGAGATCCGGCTCTGGAGTGTTTCCTTATGAGAGCAGTGGGATACAGCTGCAGGAGCTCAGCCCCACAGAGCACCAGGACAGTTGCCCTGCTTTACCTGGCCCAGTGAGACAATAAAGGGACTTTCCCAAGGGACAAGGAGTGCCAGGACCAGCCCCATGTGCCGCAAGAGTGGGCTCACAACCTCTGTTCTCAGACAGGGCCGACTCCCTGTCTGCCCAGCCATGCCTATGGCAACACACGCCGTGCCAGATGTGAGGCCTCAAGGAAACACAAACATTTTTCAGCTACCACCTTTCATACTTTCCCGAAGCTGAACACAGAGCTTCCAGAAATTCTCACTGCCTTCAACTCAACGACCTTGACAGACTATTTTATAAATAGAAAAATAATTTTGCAAAGAAAGAAGAGGTTAGGAGAGTAAAGAAGCAGAGTTCTGATGTCAGTTGTTAGGGACTCTACGGAGAAGGAGGCAAACCCCAAAGCACTGGGGTTTATCAGTACAACTGAAGGCATTAAAAGAAGATCCAGACCTACCTCCTACATCCAAGTCCACCTTATAGTTGATAAAATGGGTGTGTATCGTACCCAGAGTGTGTTCCCAAAGCCTATTGCCATATCTCAGGCCATCCCCATGAAGAAAGGATGAGCTTGGATACCCTGTGGCCTGGACCTTGCCTTCAATGGCCCCGTTCTGGTAGAAGATGAAGTCCCACACATAGTCATAGTTGCCCACGGTGGCAATGGAGCGAACGACCAGAGCGGAGTTGACCAGCCCCCCATAGTAGAGAGACTGCAAGTTGGAGTAGTGGCGCCTCAGAGGGGAGCCCAGGTTCTGCTCAAAGATGCAGAGAGCATTTTTAGTAATTCTAGGGACCTGGGAATTAGCGAGGTAGTGCACATCCAGGTATGTTGCTAAATACGGGCAGTCGACCCCTCGCACCAAGGGGGAGGTGTAGCGCCCGAGGCCAAAGCTCCCGTCCATGTACCTCGTGGACATCCCTCCCGGGCAGTTGGAGCCGTACACGGACAGCGCCTCTTGCACGCTCATTTCATAGGCAACCCTCTCCCCCTTGTGTCGGATGTCAAACAGGCGCAGGCCCGTGCTCACGCTCATCCCAAAGGCAAAGCTCCACGCCTGGAAGAGGACCAGGTTCTTCCTGACGCTGTAGCGAGGACCCTGGGGTTCATACTGCAGTGGGAACAGTGCAGCCGAAGGCGCTCGGGGCTTCATGGAAGAGAAGTCCCCATCCCGTGGTGCCTTCCTCACCTTCTCCACGCTGATACGGCCCTGCACATAGGCACTCTCCAGCTGAACCATGTCCCTGTAGTACTGCCCATTGTAGAAGACCCTGCTCACCGCCCACCGGGAGA